GCATTTCAAGTAGCCTCTAAATGAAATTTTACAATCTTTCAGTAAAAAGCAATAAAAAAAAAAAAGTAGATTACACTTGTTGATTATTATTGTCTATTTTATCTCAATTTAGTGTAGTCAACATTTGCCGGGGAATTCAGCACAGTTGGCCACCTAATTGTTCAAACTAACTGGGGGGTGGGGTTTATGTGGGGGTGTGGCCAACTACCTAAAAGACAAAACATTTAAAATCATCAACACAAAAAACACGGTGACGTCATAACTTATGCCTTTCATCTACTTCATTTCAACAATAAAATAATCGATACATTTCATGAACTCGGGGTCTTTTTTCATCATTTGAAGTTGTTCTTATCTGTTTGTTTATAATAGCTCAAGTTTGAAATGTACAGTTGTGTTCAGAAGACAGGTCATGCATCTACCTTTTTACTTTATTACAATACAATACGGCTAGATGCACTCGAATGAGACACATAACTGATGAACTCGAGACACATATCTGATGAAATCGAGATACATAACTAATGAACTCGAGACACATAAGTGATGCACTCGAGACACATAAGTGATGCACTCGAGAGACATAATTAATGAACTCGAGACACATAAGTGATGCACTCGAGACACATAAGTGATGCACTCGAGACACAAAACTGATGAACTCGAGACACATCACTAATGAACTCGAGACACATAAGTGATGCACTCAAGACACATAAGTGATGCACTCGAGACACATTAGTGATGCACGCGAGACACATAAGTGATGCACTCGAGATACATAAGTGATGCTCTCGAGACACATAACTAATAAACTCTAGACATATAACTAATGAACTCGAGACACATATGTTATGCACTCGAGAGACATAGCTAATGAAATCGAGACACATAAGTGATGCACTCGAGACACATAAGTGATGCACTCGAGACACAAAACGGATGAACTCGAGACACAAAACTAATGAACTCGAGACACATATGTGATGCACTCGAGACACATAAGTGATAAACTTGAGACACATTAGTGATGCACGCGAGACACATAAGTGATGCACTCGAGATACATAACTGATGAACTCGAGAAACATAAGTGATGCACTCGAGACACATAAGTGATGCACTCGAGATACATAACTGATGAACTCGAGACACATAAGTGATGCACTCGAGACACATAAGTGATGCACCCGAGACACATATGTGATGCACTCGATACACATAAGTGATGTACTCGAGACACATAACTTATGAACTCGAGACACATAACTAATGAACTCGAGACACATAAGTGATTCACTCGAGACACATAAGTGATGCACTCGAAACTCATAATCGATGCACTCGATTATCATAAGTGATGCACTCGAGACACATAAGTGATGCTCTCGAGACACATAACTAATAAACTCTAGACATATAACTAATGAACTCGAGACACATACGTGATTAACTCGAAACACATAACTAATGATCTCGAGACACATAAGTGATGCACTCGAGACACATAACTAATGAAATCGAGACACGTAGGTGATGCACTCGAGACACATAACTGATGAACTCGAGACACATAACTGATGAACTCGAGACACATAACTAATTGAACTCGAGACACATAAGTGATGCACTCGAGACACATAAATGATGCACTCGAGACACATAAGTGATGCAATCGATACACATAACTGATGTACTCGAGACACATAACTAATGTACTCGAGACACATAAGTAATGCACTCGAGACACATAAGTGATGCACTCGAGACACATAACTGATGTACTCGAGACACATAACTGATGAACTAGAGACACATAACTAATGAACTCGAGAAACATAAGTGATGAGCTCGAGACACATAAGTAATGAACTCGAGACACATAAGTGATGCCCTCGAGACACATAAGTGATGCACTCGAGACACATAACTGATGAACTCGAGACACATAACTAATGAACTTGAGACACATAAGTGATGCACTCGAGACACATAAGTGATGCACTCGATACACATAAGTGATGAACTCGAGACACATAAGTGATGCACTCGAGACACATAACTAATGAACTCGAGACACATAAGTGATGCACTCGAGACACATAAGTGATGAAGAAAGTGTTGTGATGAAGAGAGTGGTGTGATGAAAGAGTGGGGTGATGAAGAGAGTGTGGTTATGAAGAGAGTGGGTTGATGAAGAGGTTGGGATAATGAAGAGAGTGGGTTGATGAAGAGATTGGGATGATGAAGAGGTTGGGATAATGAAGAGAGTGGGATGATGAAGAGATTGGGATGATGAAGAGAGTGGGATGATGAAGAGGTTGGGATAATGAAGAGAGTGGGGTGATGAAGAGAGTGGGGTGATGAAGAGAGTGGTTCGATGAAGAGAGTGTGTGGATGAAGAGAGTGGGTTGATGAAGAGATTGGGGTGATGAAGAGAGTGGGTTGATACAGATAGTGGGGTGATGAAGAGAGTGGGATGATGAAGAGAGTGGGGTGATGAAGAGATTGGGGTGATGAAGAGAGTGGGGTGATGAAGAGAGTGGGTTGATGAAGAGAGTGGGTTGATGAAGAGAGTGGGTTGGTGAAGAGAGTGGGGTGATGAAGAGAGTGGGTTGATGAAGAGATTGGGGTAATGAAGAGAGTGGGGTAATGAAGAGAGTGGTGTGATGAAGAGAGTGGGGTGATGAAGAGAGTGGGGTGATGAAGAGAGTGGGGTGATGAAGAGATTGTGAGGATGAAGAGAGTGTGGTGATGAAGAGAGTTGAGGTGATGAAGAGATTGGGGTGATGAAGAGAGTGGGGTGATGAAGAGAGTGGGGTGATGAAGAGAGTGGGGTGAACATCAGTTTCAATAGATGAGTAGAAAAGACGATTGTTAAAAAACAAGTGGTGCGGGACTGCCACAGGGACGACATTTGGGTAGGGCAGGGGGGACAATAACTGCTCCCTCCCCCCCCCCCCCCCCCCCCC